GAAGATAAATCTCTCACACTTGCAGATATTTGGTTACGTTGCTTATGTTCATATCAGTGACCATGTCAGGGACAAGCTGGAAGCTAAGTCACAGAAGTACACATTCATTGGATACGGCATTGATGAGTTTGGATATCGCCTTTGGGATGAGAAGAACAGGAAGATCATCAAGAGCCGGGATGTGATATTCAATAAGGAGGTGATGTACAAGGACAGGGACAATGCCAAGGATAGCCAAAGCAGTGGGAGCAGCACTACGGATACAGGTGGATCCGAGTACATGGATTTGGAGGAACTTCCAGATGGGGGTGACGATGTCAGTTCTAACCGTAGAACGGAGGAGACTATAGGTGCAGAAGCTACTACCCAGGGCGTGGAGCTTAGGAGGTCATCCAGGGCACCCAAACCAAATCCTAAATACCTCTCGTCACTTGATTATCTACTCTTAACAGATAGCGGAGAGCCGGAGTATTATGAAGAGGCAGTGCAAGTGAGTGAATCTCAGCAGTGGGAGCATGCGATGCAGGAGGAGATGGATTCTCTACTCACTAATGAGACATGGGAGTTAGCCCAGCTACCTGCGCAGAAGAAAGCCTTGCACAATAAATGGGTCTACCGGGTCAAGCAGGAGAGTGATGGAAACAAGAGATTCAAGGTCAAAGGGTTTCAACAGCGGGAAGGAGTGGACTACACGGAGATATTTTCCCCTGTTGTGAAACTCACAACCATCAGAGTGGTGTTGAGTTTGGTAGTTGCAAAAGACCTCTTCCTTAAGCAGTTAGATGTGAAGACTGCATTTCTTCATGGTGACTTGGATGAAGAAATCTACATGAAGCAGCCTGTTGGCTTCATTGAAGAAGGAAAGGGAGAGATGGTGTGCAAGCTTAAGAAGAGCTTATATGGTTTGAAACAGGCTCCGAGACAATGGTATAAGAAGTTTGATAACTTCATGCAGAACAATGGCTACAGAAGATGCAATTCAGATCATTGCTGTTATTTCAAAAGGTTCGAGTCCAGCTTCATTATTTTGTTATTATATGTTGATGACATGTTGGTAGCAGGACTGTGTTTAGAAGAGATAAACAGTTTGAAGAGACAGCTAGCAAAGGAATTTGCAATGAAGGATTTGGGTGCAACGAAGCAGATTCTAGGGATGCGAATCAGTAGGGATGAAGCTGAAGGGACATTGAGATTAAGCCAAGCTAAATACATTGAGAAGATACTTCAGAGGTTCAACATGCAGAATACTAAAGTTGTTAGCACACCCCTTGAAAGTTAGTTCAAGCTATCTGAGGAGCAATCGCCTAAGACAGATGCAGATAGAGAGCATATGAGCAGGATGTCATATTCTTCGGCCATTGGGAGTCTCATGTACGCGATGGTTTGCACGAGGCCGGACATCGCCCATGCAGTGGGAGTTGTGAGCAGATTTGCAAGCAATCCAGGGAAGCAACATTGGGAGTCCGTGAAGTGGATGCGGTACTTGAGAGGGACAACAAACAAACCACTATGTTTCAGGAGGAAGGAGTTGGTGCTGCAGGGATATGTGGATGCGGACTTCACCGGTGATCATGATACGAGGCGAAGCACCACGGGGTATGTTTATACCTTAGCATCGACAGCAGTGAGCTAGGTCTCACATCTGCAGAAGATTGTGACTTTGTTTACAACCGAGGCTGTGTATGTTGCGATGACTGAAGCAATCAAGGAGATGATCTGGTTGAACGGGTGCTTGGAAGAGTTGGATCTTAAGCAAGGGAGAGGAGTTCTTTATTGTGATAGCCAGAGTGCTATACATCTTGCCAAGAATCTAGTATATCATGCCAGAACGAAGCACATCGACGTCAAATACCATTTTATACGCTCGCTAGTTGAAGACAGAAAGTTGCATTTAATGAAGATTTTGGGGAGTCAAAATCCGACGGACATGTTGACGAAGGCAGTCACCATTGAGAAACTGGAGTTGTGTGCAACTTCAGTTGGCCTTCAAGAGTAGAAGACGAAGGCGGAGCCACACTACGAGGATCGGCGAGATCGCCGGGATATTGTTGATTGAAGGGAAGGCGGAGCCACACTACGAGGATCGGCGAGATCGCCGGGATATTGTTGATTGAAGGAAGAATTTTTTGGGGAAAAGATACATGCGAAGAAGAGGAGAGTTCGGGGGAACTCATTGCAGGCATTTTGGTCTCCAAGTGGGAGATTGTTAGTCTAAGGTGTAGACCCAAAGTTCGAGATGAAAACTGGAATCAAAAGACAAGAAAAAAAATCGAGCTGACAGATCTGCGGTCGACCGGGTCGGTCGACCGCGAACGTGCACAGGGGGCTGGGAGAGCCTGGATCAGGTCGCGGTTGACCGACCCGGTCGACCGCCAAAACCCTGTAAGTATTTTGGTCTCGGGTCTTGCCATCGGTCGACCGGGCCGGTCGACTGCCAAACTCTCTGGAATCTGATCGGTCGACCGGGCCGGTCGACCATGAATAGTTTTGACAGTTTCCTGTTCTGTTTGAGAATCTGTTTCAACCAGGATTCTATATATACTCTAAACGATTTTAGGGTTTGTACTACATCAAAAAGAGAGCTTTTGACTGCAAAAGAGAGAGAGAATCTTAGAGAGATTAATCCCTTGTTTGAGAGCTTGTATTTTCTTCTTTAATTAATAAAGAGATTGTGTGGTGTGGCTCCCGAGGACGTTGGCACGTTGCCGAACCTCGTTAAATCTGTGTGTTCATCACCTTTACTATTTTTTGCAAGTTAGATCTTTATTTGTGGTTTTATTCCTACTTTCCTACTTTCAACACAAGGTCCGGAAGGGCAAGAGTTCGATTGATTGTTTCGAATCCCCAACACTTGACAGGTCCAATGTGATGACTTCGTTGTGCCTTACGGTACTAAGCTGCATCTGCTTCTTCTTGCCACACAATGTTCACATCTGAACCCCTCCGCCTAGCTAGTAAATCTTGTTCCATCGCTAGCTAGGCTGGCAAGTCAGTAACATGTTTAATGGTTCCATTAAGTCTAAGTGTTGAGACGGCCATATCTAGTGATGGTGGTAGGCTATTCAAAATAGTTGCCACCTGCAACTTCTCAAGAAATCCTTCTAAAGCTTGGTTCTTAGCCATGATAATCATTTTGTTCACATGTTCGGTAACATTGCCACCTTCTTGCATATGGCGTGAATTGAATCTATACATTAAGAGCTGTATGTTCACCTCAGAAGTGGTGTCATATTTCTCTTTAATTGCAAGCCACATTTCCCTAGCCGTATTATAGTTTTTAAAAACTTTGATTAAACTATCTTCCATGAACATTAACATCAGGATTTTAGCCTTTTTGTTCGTAAGTTACCACTGATCAAATTCTCTTTTCTGAGCGTTAGTGGGATCGTCACCAAGGGTTGGTGCAGAAAAATCTAGGATACTATATATCTAGGCTGTCATGGATAAGTCCGTACTTAATTTTCCTATGCCACTATCATAGTTGGAACCATTAAGGTGTTCTAGTTTTGCCAGTTCAAAAGCAATCAACTTACTGGCCATGGAGATTATAAAGAGTGAGGAGGAGAGAAAAAACTAGAGGGGCGGCGTCCTGTCGGAGGGCGGCTGCAGGCAGGCGGCGGGCGTAGGCCCAGCGATGACGCCGGTGAGCAGGACGCTGGTGGAGACTTGGAGAGGGGAGGTGTTGTCATCGAGGGCGAAGATGGTGGAGGGGAAGGAGGGAGGCGGCTCGATGGGGCCCTCGGATTCCTCGGATTCTGGTAAGGGTGGTTCTTGAGTGGTGGTCGTTGTCCTGAGGGAAGGGAATTGGGGCCAGAGGAGGGAGTAGAGGTAGGGGTGGAGAGGCTAGGGTTTGGGGAAGAAAATTTTTTATTAATGGAAGGGGGATGATCGATGCCGCTCTGATACCAGTGAAAGAATAAGAATGAGTTTCTTTTGGGGACTCCGGTGGAGATGTTTCTCGGTTGTTCTATCTCAGAGGAGAAGAACTCCTCTCTATTTATGGGCATTCCATCTCTACCCACGTCCCCGAATATCTGCCCCATGTCTCTCTAAATTCCCACGTTCTCCGTAAGACCCGATCTCCAACGGAAGAAATCCCACAGAACGTGAGATATTCCCAACAACCGGGTCGGAGCCTTAACGGGTCGGGTTACAATTTGGCCCATGAGGCCAAAACCACTTACAAACGACTCACTACATGCCACCACGATCATCCATGCTCCGAGACAGTGATTTTCTCGATAACTATGGACGGATCATTATCCAGTTATTGGTCCTGTTGCCTGCTTGCGGACGATGCGCGCCCTCCAAGTGGCAGGAATCCCGATGGATGCGATCCAGGGCCGTGCCTGTATAGGTGCTATTTTCACCACCTGCGGAGTTACTCGCAATGAGGACAACTTTTTTGAAATTCTTAGCGGTTTTCACTGGTCTCACTGCAACTCGGCTGACCCAGTTATGGCTCTATTCCTCGGAGAGTGAGTACTACCGAAGCCCAACCTTTCGAGGAAATGTTTATGACCCTGGATGACATTTGATGTTTTCGTGAACAATTTCAACTTGGCGACGATGCTCCACCCTGCTCCCTTGCCTGCGACCTCTCCAAACTTGAAATTACTGAGATTGTCCGCTTTCAGATTCTGCACAGAGGAGAAGACCGCCATCTGCGGGGCCAAGCTCCCACCTGCTGTTAAGACTAGCTCGAGTTTGCTTCCAGATTGTCATTTGCCATCAGTTTGCAAAGAACAATTTTAATTTGCAGTTGAATGAAGACTTATCTATAGCTTGAAGAAAGGGGAAAAAAAATCAAAACACAGAAGAGATCTTCATTATGATAATGAAGTTATTGCCCATATGGTAGCAATTAAAATTGAAATTCAGCTGAGCTCTTTAATTTGTCTAGTAAAGCTCTATTGTGCATACACACACAAGACATGCTGCAAACAAATCCTCAAGCAACGTGACAACATTATAGGAACTCATAACAAAGGGTGGAAAGATGTTGCAAGTACTTAGAAATTCAATAGAAATAAACACTCATGCATTAGTATATTCATCTTATTTGGCTCTGGACTATTCATCAAAGTAACTAGTTACATTTCTTCATGAGTAAACAAACACCAAATTTAGGCTCTATAAGCAACCTCATAGAAGGACAATGTCTATACTCCTGTGATAACGAAAAACTAAACTTCGACAAAATAAGCGATAACAGAATCTTCAACTCAACCATAGCGAAATTCTGGCCTAAACATGTTCGAGAACCAAATCCAAAAGGCACGTACGTGTGTGGAAACTTGCAAGCAGCGCTGATTCCTCTAGAGAACCTCTCAGGGTTGAACTCGTGTACATCAGGACCCCAGATGCTCGAATCGTGATGCAGTGATGTGACTGGAGTATGAATGTGGACGCCTTTTGGGATTTGGATTCCTCCGAGTTTGATATCTTGGAGGGTTTCTCGAGCTATGACTGCGGTTGGTGGGTAGAGCCTAAGTGTCTCTTGGATCACCATCGTCAACTGGATTAGAAACATAAATTTGTTAAAAGATTAATAATATGCGATTGTTTATATTGGATAATGCTTGATCATCTATGCATAATTTGCTGCCTTGTTTATGGTAAGGAAATGTTGATTCATTGCTTGAAAAGAAAAGGTAAGATAACATCACTGTCAACTGTATTAGAGACATAAATTTGCTAAAAGATTAATAATATGCGATTGTTTATATTGGATAATATCCAAGAGAGCCTAAGTTTCTCTTGGATCACCATTGTCAATTGTTTATATTGGATAATATCCAAGAGAGCCTAAGTTTCTCTTGGATCACCATTGTCAACTCAACTCGATTAGAAACATAAATTTGTTAAAAGATTAATAATATGCGATTGTTTATATTGGATAATGCTTGATCATCTATGTATAATTTGCTGCCTTGTTTATGGTAAGGAAATGTTGATTCATTGCTTGGAAAGAAAAGGTAAGATAATAACATCACTGCACTTTCAACTCCTTAAATGCAACTTGATTCCCCTGGATGGCCACTGATTAGGAATAAATGAACCTGGATAATTACAGCCTACATGTTTGTTGGATTCATATTAATCCCAAACTGGCATATTCTAGGATTTGGAGAGAAGTACAGTAGGAGAAGAAGAATTAGAATACGAAATAGACCAATATAGATTTCTGAATGAAGGTGTCACTGCTCCAAGAGTGATAATGACCAAGGTAACTAAACTTAGTTGCACTTTTTGTCCCTTAAAAGAGTTTAAAAAGTTCAGGGGATACATCCAGAATTGAGCTATACTAAGGGAGTCTATCCCCAATCAAACCTAGATATAATACCAGTGCTCGTAACTCAATTGCTGCACTGGATTTATTATTACAATTTTGTTCCCCGCATATTGTGTTGACAATATGATTTGTATCCAAAATGAACATTCATTAAGATCACTCTCACATGAAAACTAAAATAAATTAATGAAACTATTTCCAAGCTAAAATATCTCAATAGTAAATGAGTAAGGTATGGATAACGGTATGGAAGCCAGAAAATACACGGTTAACCACAATTTGCAAAGGAAATAGTTTTAAATAAACTGAAACATGTCATGTCCCCACAACCAGTAGCAGCTGTTTTATTAGAATAATAATATAGATATAGATTTGGTACTTTTAATGGAGCTCTTGACCACTCATTTAGTGAAAAGAAAGAGGTTATGATGGATAATTAAGGCCAATATTTTCTAGTCTAATTACCTACTTTATTCCGTAAATTCATCGGTATTTAAAAAGCTAACTCCTTGGATGTCTAGATACAATGCAAGGATGAGATCACTACTCACCATTTTCATCTTTTGAATCGAATTTGCATCCGGAGGACATCCTCCAAGGATCTCCACCACGTCAGCACGAACACGACTCTGCCATTCTTGGTCGATACTCAGCAACAACAAGCACCAAACTGCAGTGATGGCTGTAGTTTCATGCCCTGCAATGTATATAGTCTTGCAGTTGTCGACGATGAAATCATCTGTGTCGCTGCTGTCACCTGCATTTTGAAGGATGGCTTGTAGAAGATTTTTATTTGTTGTATGTTCCTCTCTTTCTTTGTTCTCCTTCGTCACCTTGAGGATTAAGGACCGGACTTCTTTGTTAAGTCTCCATATCTCTCTATTTAGTCTTGTGGGAAGATATCTACAGTCACAGCAGAAGAGTTAGTTCGCAGGGGGGTTGACGAAGATGCAGAATTACATTTTTTTATTAAGTAAAACGGATGTTTCACTGATTGAGATTTGGAAATATTGATTTTTGTTGTTAAGGGTGATTTTCAGAAAGCGCTCTGAAACTTTTGGGTGTTTCGCACAAAAGCCTTCTAAACTTATAAATCAGAGTCAACTTCCGTAAGCTTTCAAATTTATACAAAACCCTCTGAATTAATGGATCAAACAGTTATTGAAGGTAAAAACTCCATCTCAAGTCTCAAGGTTAATATGTCCAATACATGTCACATGCGAGCATATGAAAACCTAGCGTATGACAACTTAAAGTAAATATCATCAATCATGCTATTTTTGGTATATTTAGTGAAACAAGTTCACAAAAGGTTTCTCTAATGTATAGAGTTTAGGGGAGGGTTTGCAAAACAGTCCAAACTTCAGGTGGTTTGTGTGAAATTTGACCTTCTTTTAACGAATCAATTATCTTATATTGTACATTGTTTTAAAAATAAGGTAGTATATATTTCATTATTCATCTGTGCTTAGATTTAGATGCACAATCTTTTGAATGGACAACTATAACTGAAGGTTGATCAGGTATCTTCATGGGAGTTTTATTCAGAAAAGCAGTGTAAACTTTCATGTACACGAATCAAAGGTTTCACCTGAAATAAACAGCTTCAAAGTGATCTTTAGTGGAGGTGCATACCTCAATCCTGCAATTTCAACGAGCAAATTTGGTCTGGATAGAGCTCTCAGCATTTCCCTAAGCTTCAATACTATTTGTCTTCCTTCAGAGTAGCTATCCCTGAAGCAAGCTCTCGAGATTACTTCAGCAGAAAAATTCTGCAAATCCTCATCAACCTTGATTTCTGCACTTCCATTTCCCTGCTCGATTTTACTTTCCCATGATTTCGTTAATGGTTCCATGCAGTCCACCATTAAGTTCACCATAGCCTACATATAAATTTTAGCTTGACATATCGTCTTAGGAGTTTCAATATCATCAATTTTGAATGAGGTGCCTTCACAATACATATTTTTTTCCCTCATTGAATTTTTTATCAAATATGTTTCTTTTCAGTTTATACTGCACCTTTTCATCATTATTTGTACTCATTTTTTGTCTCATAGTCATGTGAATAATTTTTCTCAATAGGTTTTTATATCTTGCAAAATATTGAAGGAGTTAAGTCCACAAAAATTGTTTAAATTTCTTCAAATTGTTTCGTTAAAATCTTATTAATGGAGCATGGGAGGCAGTTGCTCACTTTTCCATTCAAAAAAGTTTCTTTAAATTTATTTCTTTTGAATTCCATGAAGGATGGTAACAAAGGTAATAAAAGTTGCCTTCAGTATGTCAATGTCAGGAAAAAAAAAATCACGTCATTAATAAGCCAAAGTTCAGAGTAAAGGTTAATATTGTTTCTTCAAGACTGCACTAATAACATAGGGTAAATTTCACAGAATCCCCTTTAAGTTTGATCAGATTTTAGATTAACCCTCCAAACTTATAAATGTCATTCAACACCACCCCACCCCCCAACCAAAGCCCCAAAAATAAAAAACACTTTCAAAACTTTGAACTAACCCACATAACTGTGTTAGATGAGCTTGTAAAGATACCAAAATTAACACTCTATTCATTAAATTAAATTAATTGGGTACTACAGTTAAAGGTGGTTATCTCAAAATTGGACCATACTTAAGGGGGGTTTTGAGGATATGTTTTTAAAGATATGGTAAAGGACATAGGATTTTGTTTTTTCATGAGGAGCATTGGTCATTTAGGCGCACATGATTTTCATGTCACAATCACCTAATGGTGTTAGGGGGTTATCTGACAAAACTTGGGGGGAGAGTGTCAAGTGACTTTTCTAAAGTTTAGAGGGGTATCTCAAAACAACCGAACTTTTTTTTTGGGATGGGCGTGTGTTTTTCTATTTAATTTGCCCCCTTGTTTTTTTTTTGTTTTTTTTTTTGTTTTTTTGGTGGGTGGGTGTGAATGAAACCAAATAACATATGATATAGTGTTTTATCTCATTAAAGTGGCAATTTAATCCAAATATAGTTTTACCTTAACCTTTTCAAGAAAGAACTCTGGGGCAATGATCTTCCTCTGATGAGCCCAGGCCTTCCCATTTGACTTCACAATGCTATTACCAAACAAAGGCTCGTGAGTCTCTTTCAAGTATGTTGACTTCCCCAAATCCAAAGATGCACAATGGCTCATATCCCTCAAAAAATCTGGGTTACTTACATGTAAAAAGGGTACATTCCCCATCATATACAAAAATATTGAGCCTGCAGTGAACAGAATGATGACCGATATATGTTAATACAATAATAGAGCTCTTTATAGAAGGAGATTGCAAGTTGTCTTAAAGCTTTAACAATGTAAACTCTGTAAAACATTTGAGTCGCACTAAAGTGCATATTGCAAACAAGTAAACATAGTATAGAAGGTAAGATGTTTTCTCGGATTCATTTTCTTATGCCGTGTAAGGACATTGATGTAGCTAACTACTGAATAGTTAGTGTATATTGCTTCTACATAAATGATAGGCGTTTCGTGTAGGCAAACCTTATCGTCTAAGTCTAATCTTTACATCGTACTCTGTTCCCATCTTTGGAATTGCTCTTTGGTTGCATGAGACCAAGTTATGCATGGCAAAGGTAGATAGATGCATACCAATTTACTACCTTGGCGATCAAATTTGTTGCTTGGTGCTTAAATGCTAATAGTTTACCGTGGTCGAGAAATCACCATTTCTTGTATAGGGTTGAGCTCGAAAGTTCCTCAGGCTTTTGGGTCGTGACCTGTAATAGCTTGTTTATTTAGTTGATATTGATGTTGGATTTATGAGAATAAATGCTCTTTTATTTTGAACCTAAATGGAGTTCAATATGTTTCTAGCAATTGTGATATTAAGCTAGCACAACTTATTTAAATTTATAAAATTAAACTTTCCCTTGTGACCTACGACATGTAGACTAACCAAGAGAAATAGGGAGTATGATTGCTTCTCATTTTGTGAATGTTTTTTTTTTAAAAAAAAACCTAGAAATGAGGACAGCAACCAACAATTTGATAGAAGCAATAATGGGCCACAACCTGAACTCCAAGTTGGGAGAAATTGGACCCCTGAAGTTTCCATCGAAGTTCATTGAGCACACATGAAATTCTCACCCATCTAACACTATTGGAGTTGGCTAACATGCAGAGAAACCCTTAACCTCCTATAGATAATGAATTATTGAAGCAAAAAATCAATACCAAAACCTTGAGATCCTTACAAGAAAGCAATTAAGAACACATACCATATCTTTTCCTCCATTTCTCAAAGTATGGAAGTGGAGTATAATCATGTATTATTGCTTCTCCATCTCTCCTCTTCTCCTCCATAGCCAGCATCTTCATCTCCTTTAGATTACCATGGAGGAAAGAGGGTTTTGGCCCATCAATTCCTTGTCGTCTTAGCTTCTTGCAAATTTTTTGAGGATGTAACCACAAAACATTATACAGGTACAAAGCCAAACTGCAGAAGGATAGGATACCAAAAGAGAGGAAGAACTCCATGACCCTGTTATTCTTTATGTCCGGCTTTCTCAACTGAGCTGTCCGTTCCCCGAATATATGGCCCTCCCAACATTTAAAACCCCGCAGATGCGTTGACACGTGATGGTCAAGAAGTGGTACCGGTCCCCTTCGTCACTTTTTGCATCACGGCACTGATCGATTACATCCGCTCTGTCAAGACGTTGGGGTTTTCAAACAAAGGGAAGAATTTTTTTTTATCTCACCGACTAAGAATTTTATTTAAAATAAATGATATTGTAACATACGTGTCAGGGTATAGATTTCTCATCACAACTTCGGAATTTTGATATAGTGCAAATAACCTTTTAATAGGATCCGTGCATCACCGTTAGTGCAATAGATTTGAGCCGGGCAATTGGCAACAACAACGATTTGGCAAGATTTTTTTTGTAGATCAGAATGTTCAAATCGTGCAGCTAGGATTATCTCGGATCATATGGACTGTTTTGATGGGATTTGTTGGACTATATTTGATAATATATCATGCTTTGCAATATCATCTTCATCCATCCCATGAGAATATTTTTGGGGGCAGTTATACTGTAATTTGCGTGTGCTTTCTTCCTAAATTTAGGATCAATTTCACATAACCCTCCTGAACTTTGGGATCACTACAATAAAGAGGTCCATTAACAATGGAAAAAAACTATTGCTGAAGTCCAAGCTGCTTCTCCACACAAGTCCTAAACTCAATAAACTTGTTGAAGGCTTCATCTTTAGATTTTAGTAGGTAGACGTGGCAGAAGCGAGAATGATCATTAATGAAGGTGATGAAGTACTTCATGCCGTCTTGAGTGACGAAGCTCTTGAAATCACAAGTATCTGAGTGAATCAGATCCAATAGGTTAGTGCTCCTTGTGGCACTTGGAAATGACTTCCTTGTCAACTTCGCTTGCGCGTAGACTTCACACTTCTTAGATTTGTTACCCACACATTTTGGAAGTAATCCTAATTTCTCCATGCTAGATAGCTTTCTATAATTTACATGTCTCAGCTTATTGTGCTATAATACAGAGGAGTAAGCAGAAGATGATACTTCATTTATAACTGAGTTGGGTATAATAATACTAATCTTATACATGCCATCAGTACAATATGCATTGCCAAAATACATTTTCTTAAAAGATAACACAACATTTCCTCCTTGGAAATCCAGTCTCATACCGGCATCACATAGCAGGTTTCCATAGACTAAGTTTTTGGTAATTGAGGGAACATGTTTCACATCCTTCAATGTGAGAGTCTTCCCTGAAGAAAAAGTAGGCGTCACAATCCCATTTCTAAGAACATGAACCACAAAACGATCAGCCATTGATACGTTCTCTTTGGCAGCAACATAAGAAGAGAATAAATCTCTGTTAGAGTAGTCATGACAAGTAACACTTGTATCTAACCACCAATCAGAGACGTTGTTGGGAGTTGTCACTTGGAAGAGCATAGTCACACAATTATCAACTTGATTAACATTGTGTGTTATTCCCTTCTTTGGTGCTTTGCAGTCCTTGGCAAAATATCTTTTCTTCCCACAGTTGAAGCATTTGCCGCTCTTCTTGAAATCTTTCTTTTGAACATTTAGATTCTTTGGGTTTGGTTCTTCTTTTTGTTAAATGTTTTTTCCTTCTTCTTGGATGAAGAACTAGTACCCTTCTCAGAATTAGCAACCACCGTGTTAGCGAACGCCTTCTGCTTAGCAAGGAGCTTATTCTTCGTGCGAGTCCGAATCTCGTCATCGATCCGAATGAACCTCTTAAAATTAGATAGAGTCACCTGTATTTTTCTTCTTCGAATGTCCATGGAGAATGACATCCAAGATAGAGGAAGCTTGTTGACAATTGCACCAGAAATGAAGGTTTGACAAAGATTGACTTTTCACCCTTCAGCTTCATAACAAGTTTTTCAAGCTCCTTGACTTGAGGCAAAATCTCAGTGTCATCTTCGAATTTTAAGTCCAAAAACTTGTTAATGAGGTGAGGCTTGGACAGTTTATCCTCATCGTTGTATTGGTCCTCCAAAGCATCCCAGATTTTCTTTGTAGAGGGCTTATTGGTGTAAGCACCTACCAGATGATCGACCAGACAGTTAAGAAGATAACTCCTACAGAAATGATTATCTTTAGCCCAAGAGGCTTCAGACTCAGAATCTTCTTCAAAGTCGGGTTTCTCCTTAGAAATCACATAGTAGATTTTTAGGAGTTGCATCTCGAAGATCACTTTCGTCGCCATGCGTTAAAGTTGGATCCATCAAAGTTATCTAACTTGAGAAAGTCCACTCCAAGAGTCCTCGCGGGATCCATGATAAATCAGAAATATTGCTTTAAGATTGATAGAGATTGTGGTTAAATCTGGAATAAAACAGTGAAAGTTGATGTGCTGTAATTTTAAACTTTTTAACCTAACTGTTGTGCATTTGTGAAACGCTGTGCTTAAAGCAATATTTGACCTACTCCGATGCAAGGATCCCAAGACCAAACTGTTTTCAGGAATAACAATACAATATAATGGTGTGCACCAACCAAGTATTGTCAAGATCTCCTCTATCTGTACATTTCAGTCAAGGCAAAGATCTCCTCGATCTCTTTAACCTTTCGGTTTAGGCAAAAATCCTTTGGCCACAGGCTCTGTAGCAGCAGCAGTACAACACTTCCTTTGGGCACATGCTCTGCACCAGCAGCAGCACAACAAGTCAATGTATTTTCATGTGTATACCAGAGCTCTCTAAGATCTGCCCCAAGAGGCACTATTTATAGGCCTCTAAGGCCAGCTCAAGAGTCACGTACAATCAATGTGACTATTACAAATCATTATGATTATAACATCAATTAATTTAAATGTTATTGTAACTGCTGCATGCAGTAACATCTGAACACGAAGGTCGCGTTGCACCTTACAACAAATCAGACGAACCTCACGATCGGGCGAAGCTCGTCAAACAAACGAGTTTCGCAAATCAGACGAACCTCGTCAGTAAGACGAACTTCATCAAACGAGTGAACCTTATCGGATGGGTCAATCAAACGAGTCTCACAAATCAGATGAACCTCGTCAGTAAGACGAACCTCGTCGGTAAACCTCGTCAAACAAATGAGTTTTGCAAATCAGATGAACCTCGTCAGTAAGACGAACCTCGTCGAACAGGCGAACCTCGTCAAACTGGTCAATCAAACAAGTCTCGCAAATCAGATGAACCTCATCAGTAAGATGAACCTCATCGAACGGGCGAACCTCGTTAACCAAATGAGTCTCGTCAAATTGATGAACATCATCAAATAGAGGAGCATCGTTCGATCTCGAGAACGCTAGGATCACACCATCGTGCGAATACGAAGCTCGTTTGCATGCTGCAAAGCAGCCTGTGAGACAATCTTCATAGCGGCTATAGTGACAACCAACGTGGCGTCACCTAGCCCCGATGCCTCTATTTGAAGTACAAAGTGAGCCTTACAAAGCGTCACTTAACGCCTCAGCCCGATTAGCCCCAATCCCTGGCACATTGGTCCACAGTCCACAGTCCACGGTCCACGAGCCCATGAGCCCATGACCCACGTCCCATGACCCACGAATCATTAGACTTATGAGGGATAAATTAAAAAAAATAATTCTTGGTTTGCCATTGGCAAGCCTCGAATAGAGGACCTTTTGAAACACAAAAACTTTTACTTTTCACTAGGCTACTAAGGATTTATAAAAATTACTAAGGAGTTTATATTATAAATATATATATATATATATATATATATATATATATATATATATATATATATATATATATATATATATATATATATATATATATATATATATATATATATATATATATATATATATAATATATATATATATATTATAGTATATATATATATATATATAGTTTGAAAACTCATTTTGAAAAGCGGTTTTGACCAAAAAATCTAACAATCCCCACAAGTTTTTAAACTAGTGTCGTGTAATAGTGTCGTTGTTTCAATCGTTGTGCATAAGATAGATATCGTAAGGACTTGAATCCCCCTTAGACCAACTGAATAAAAGATATATGTTTGGTGTCGCAGAGACTTGAACAAGCATATGTTTAAGATCCAGCGATCACACAAGATCAAACTCATATGTGGTAGTTTTTACTTTGAACCACACTTGCTATGCCTTTGCCTTTGCTTTGCACATTTATATATGGCATTGTGCATGTCCTGGTTTCTGCTAGGGTTCTAGGTATCTTTTCATAAGACATCATAGGAGGCGGCCAAATCTTCACCCAGACATAGGTGAGTTTTTAAGCATGTTTACTATCAAACATCCAACATCCGAGATGTTTTGAGCTCATTAAGGCTTAAGAGTCATCCTCTCTCATGATAGGATTCTAGGTGAGCTCTTTAAGCGTGTTTCCTATCTAACACCCCGCATCCAAAATGCTTTGGACTCATGAAGGCTTAACAGCTAACCCCTTTACATGATTATCGATGAGTCCTTTATGTATGTTACCTATCCAACAGTCCGCATCCGAAATGCTTTGGACTCATTAAGGCTTAACAGCCATCCACTTTATCATGATAGGATTTCAGTTGTAAATCTTATTTGACTTTTGAACCAATCATCTTATCATTAGTACCGTAAGCTTTAAACTAATGACTTGATGTAAATGGTAAGTATTTGTAAGACTCACCAATTTTTTATAAATCTTACTCGACTTTTGAACCAATCATCTTATCATTAATAGCATAAGCTTTGAACTAAAGATTTAATGTAAATGGTAAGTATTTATAAGACTCACAAAACTTTGAGACTCATTCCAGTAGACATCCTTTCGACTATTTTTAGATCTTTAGCCAAAGAATCAGCCACATTCTCTAAAGATTGGACGTCTATCATAGAGATGACTCCTTAGCAAATGAGTTCTCTCAAATAGTCATGCTTTAGACGAATAGTCTGCTTCTTTCCATTGAACATTAACTTTGTTGCCACAACACTCACCGCGTGATTATCACAATAGATAGTA